ATCTTAAAGTATATATATATGCTTACTTCTGCACATATCTTTTGACAATCTGAAGAGTTGATGGAATACGAAATTGCTCAGCATTTCAGTTAATCTTACTTCCGTTGCTCACATCTTTTAGTCATCGTCCATCAAGCCAAATGCATGCTTAATTCATGAGCATAGGGCATATAGAGTATACTCATCTAATATATACAGTGATCAGAGTAGCGGCATTCCCTCATATTTTCATATTCTAGCTCAATTGATAGATCCCTATTCAGTCGGCCTACGTTAAACCCCACTTCAGAGTGGTTCCTTTTTTTTATTTTTATTTTTAATAAACGACATTTCCACTTAATTTTATGCGAGTTTTTGTCCCAGTAGGGGCATTCCCTTGTGCACTCGCCGCAAAGTAGGCAGCACTTTAGTTAATTTCTGCTGCAAGTGTCTCGGCTAAGCGGCCAGACAGCGCAGCCAGCTAACCTTCAAAAGTATCTCTCTCGCTCTGTGTGTGTGTGTGTGTGTGCGTCGGCTGAACTTCCGCTGCGCTGTACTGGCAGGCGTGTCCTTGCCTCCCTGCCTGCCTCTCTGCCTGCCTGCCTTAGCGGCTATGCAGCTTAATATTTTCCGTTTGCCAGCTGACAACTAACTGCAGCCAGTCCTAGTTGGCCGTCACTTTTGTTTCTCTTCTTTTATTTTTGTCTTCTTTTTTTTTTTGCACGGAAACGGAAACGGCACACACACACACAGACCCACACACATACGCACACAGACTCATGGTGCGCGTGTTACGTGAAAACAAGTTGTGCATTAATCATTCGCATTGGCATTGAGTGTGTTCCATTCGAGCATTGTCAATGCTTTACTATGCGACCTGCGCATAAATTAATTAAAGTCCATTAACAGCTGCACAGCGGACTAATTAGCCACGTGCATAAGAATTTATAATTGAAAGCGATTTTCTCTCTTTGCTGCTCTTTACCAACTGGCCGAGCACCTAAGCAAGGGCTGATGCTGATGAAAATGAAATGAAAACAAGTTCCCTTAGAGATCTCGCCTCTGATTGGCGAGAGACCTTGAAAAGTTGGGAGACATTCTGGCAAATTACACAGGGAAATTACACAGATTGCACAGTAGAACTTTCTTTTGATAGCATTTAAATGGAAATTTTATTTACTGCAATATAAATAAAATATTTCATTTTTGCTAGAGCATTTATAAAGTACAAAATTATTTAAAGACAAATTTTGCATAGTCTGAAACATGAGCAGGTAAGAACGTTGCAGACGGGCTTGACCGACTGCTGGATACTCAGTCATGGCTGCCAGATCTGTTCATTGATGTGTTGAGTGTATGCAAAATATAGCTTTACCCGAATTGCCACGCTCCCATATATTATTTAGCTTGTGTTATTAACCCGAGAATATAATCCGAATAAAATGTTCTTGGTTTCTGAGTTACCTGGAAATGAGTTTTCCGATTTCTTGACAGCCTATATTTCCAGGGTATTCATGAGTAGTATTCCAAATATAAAGTCTCTAGCTTCAATAGCGTCGGAATGGCTTACGGACAGACGGCCAGGCGGCCGCACAGTCAGACGGACTTGCCCAAAAACCAATATACTCCTTTCAATGATGGGAATGAGTGCGAGTATATATAACAAAATATTTATTCAATTCATTTGGCCAGCATGAATTTCTTAAATGAATGAAATTAAATTAAAATCTAGCTCATGCTTGATCTTAAATTTGTTGAAGCTGTTTCAGCTCATTTGCCTTTCGGTTTTCGCATGTTTTTCCTTTTATTTCTTATTTTTATTCATTTTGGCATTGCGCTCAATTTCCAGAACATCGTGTAGCAATTTAATTTGAAATATGCAAATTGGCGCCCAGAACTTGGAGCCAGCAGCCGGAGCAGCCGGAGCAGCAGTTCGTGCAGCGTGTAAATAATAAATAACAAGATGAACATGATAAACACGTTAAGAGACACGCACACGTAAGGCAAATATAGACAAGCACTGCCTGAGGGGGCGTGGCAGGGCGGATAGGCTGGTAAGCTAGGTAAGATCTGATCGCATTGTGCCTCGGCTGTCTGTCAATGTCAGTGTGGCAGGGCGGCTAAGTGGCCCCCCGGAGAGATAGAGAGGGAGAGAGGGGATGGGGGGGGAGGGAGGGAGAGATAGAGTGAGGCACAGTTGGAGCAAAGGCCAGGCCCAGATCCAAGTCAAGAGGCAAAACTCTTTGAATAGTTGAAGGCGAAATAGGCTGCAAATGCGGCTGTGGCTGTGGCTGCTGCTGCGGCTGCTCTGAGTGAAATATGAAGTGTGAACGGCAAGTCAAGTGGAAGTGGCAGGAGCCGTGGCAGTGGAACGCAACGGCCATGGCGACACACAGCGTAGCGCAAAACTTTTTCAATTATAAACGCTTTCAGATAAGCTAAGCAACAAATAAAACAGCAGCAGCAGCAGTAGCAGGAGCGGGAATAGCAGCAGCAGGAGCAGAAGGAGCAGCGTGAGCAGCAGGAGCAGGAGCAGGAGCAGCATTAACATCTGCTTTCAGTATTCTTGTCCCACAATGCCCACATTTGGCAGTTTATTATGTATTATGCAAGCGTGATGTTTAATTGAATATTATTATTTATCCTTGTGCCACACGCACACACAGGCACACACGCACACACACGCATACATGCGTGTATGTATGTATATGTGTGTGTGTGTTTGGCCTTGGCAAATGAGTTTTTATGCTTTGTTTGATTGCCCCTCGGCCTCATCATACTTTTCCATTCATCTGCAAGTCGTTAGACATTCGCCCAACAAAAAGTTCTAATTCCGATTCCATTTCACGCTGCGCAGTGGCTGCGGCTCCACTTGCTCCACTTGCATTAGAGCCAACACGAAAGTAGCTTTGACGCCCCGCATTTGTTTGAGTTAAATTCATTTAACTTTGGCAAGTTTATTTTGCAAGTTTTTATTTTCTTAACGCTGCAAAGTCTTTTATGGCCAGAAATCAGAAGAGAGAAATGGTTCCAGATCTCTTAGGGAAATTGGATTTGTCATATCCATAAATCTGAAATACCTCAAAATTGAAGTTTATATAACTACTTATGCACTTTCACAAAGTGAAGAGAGTATATTGGTTTTGAGGTTAGTTCTGCTGGCTGTTTCTCTGTTTTTCTCCTTCTGAGACTAAGAGCTGGAATTATTAACTCCTAGGGAACCTCATCTTATAAGGCAAATTATCTATATGATATAGAAGGATATTTGGCATAATACCGACTGTGCAATACTCATTCATGGTCTAATAAGAGTTAAGTCAGATTGACGTATGCTATATGCTATATGCTATATGCTATATGCTATATGCTATATGCTATATGCTATATGCTATATGCTATATGCTATATGCTATATGCTATATGCTATATGCTATATGCTATATGCTATATGCTATATGCTATATGCTATATGCTATATGCTATTATATTTTATATTA